CCCCATTTGAAAACCTAAATCTCGAAGTAGATGCATAACATTTGGAGTCTAGCTAGCATTTGAGATGAATAAGACGTGAAATATAAAGTGTGGTCTACATATAAAAGCGTGTCAAAATTTTTCTCCCTACCAATATCTTTCGACACGTCAAAAATGAACGAGTATTTTAATCTTTTACATTCTCTTCTATTCTCTCAACTTGCCGTGATATACTTAACCCATTGTGTCTCAGTGAATTTGACAAAAGAAAGATTTAATCTGGCTTAATAAGTAGAAGGCCTGTTAGTCAAAGTTGTAGAATTTTAGACCCTTGTGGGTTGAAATAAGGGACTCAGTTTAATAAAGATACCATCCAACTAAGATTGTAATTGGTGGGAATGGATCATTTTAAGCCACTGATAGTTTCCAATCTGGAATTCATTGATGGGAGATGTAACCCACTATATGCTTAGCTTATTATTAGACAAAACAATTTACCAATCAACTAAGTTTATAGTATGGTATCATGACAATAGTTCAGATGGGGAAGTTTTCAGTGATTGGAATATCTAGGAAGAAACAACATGATTGATTCGATAAACATTCTATGCAGGTGATTGTTAGCTTTTTAGCTTCTTGTTTAAATGATACTTGGTTGGGTCGATTTTTGGTTATTAAAAAAGAAGAAGAAGAAGAAGATGATGATTATAGGATTGATTTTGGACCCTGCAGTCTCATCTGTCGACTTTGTAGTACTAATGGTCCTATGGATTATTGAAAAGACAAGACATTTGCCAACTTTCTTCTGATAGAAATGCAGCAATGAATGAATAGATTTGAGCATTGGATTTGAAAAGGAAGCCAAAGTAAGAACATAGCATACTCTGGTTGACCCTATAATGAAGGATTGTGAAAGTGACATGTTATGGTTCACCTTGAGAAGAGGGCTTTCACAACACATTATCTTTGAGTTTGCAGTGGGTGTGGCTACCACTTCTCAACTCCATACTCAAGAGTAAATACTAATGGTAAGCATTGTGATATTGTGATCACTTTAGAATGAGTTGTAGACTGTTTATAGTTCAATTTTCTAACATTTCAAATGACAGTTTATCTATTCAATGCGGAGGTATGGTAGCATACACTTCAAGTGCATATCCATTCCCTCTTTCAAAAATCACAAGACGGGATTATAAATTTTCTGACTCTTCAATGACTAGAGTGTCGTGTATTAGGTTGTCCTTTCTTGGGGTTGGGTTATGACTCAATAGTGAAGTTTTCTTATTATGATATGGACTTCATTGAACCAAGAATATAGTATTTCTTTGTATGATTTTGTAAATCTGATCATTTTTAATTAGACTGTGCAGTAGAAAGAATTTAAATTATCTTTTTTCTCGGATGACTTTGAATTTTAGAGATACGTCTTTGAAATTTGAAGTCCAACATAATATAGCGTGAGCTCAGAAAGTCATTTAGACTGAATTGACACTTTATTACTATTTGGAAAACAAAATTTATTAAATTTAAAGTTGAAATATAAATGTGAAAATTTATTAAATTTAAAGTTGAAATATAAATGTGAAAATTGTGTCCAATTCAAATATTTTAAAATCCTAACTATGTTGACTCTTCAAGGTCGGGTAATATCTTATGTAGAAAATCTAGGGAAGTGTTTGAAAATCTAGATTTGAATTTTGGACCTTGGGACACAAGGGTCCCTAAATTTTGTGGCCAGCATATTTTTCCCTAAAACAAATAGATGTGACATGTCACTAAGCAAAGTCTATAATTAAATAATGCTTTGTTGGAGAGCATGTTGAGATGGGATTATCTTTTGGGGGGATTGTTTAAGGGCTGGACATATGCAAGTTCAGAGCATTAGACAAACCTAAAGTGGGTATTGTTCCTTCAATATTTTATCATTGGACACAATGATGGTAGTATGGTAGCATATATTAAGGGAAGGTGACAACATTGCTTGCGTGAGATAGCATATCTATCTTTTATTACATACTCACCTTTATTCATTAACGATTTTCAATCATAGTCAAGTTGATTTGTAAGGTCCATAAAGTAAATAGATCGACATAAAATCATACTGATTGAGTCGATTTGTGCACGACACGAATTCAACACAAACTATTATCAGCCTTACATCTCACCAAGAGGTTGGTACTATGGTTCAAGGGAAATCGGCACACTTATTTGAACTTTTACTTTAATATCTTTTTTTTTCATAAACTCTAGCATTTACACATGCAGTGTTAACATTCATGATATCTATATAATAAGATAGTTGGTTTTTGAATTTATGAGGATATATTTTTCTCTCAAATTTCACACATACTGATTATATACACACTTCAATTGTATACATACTCCAATACATATATAATGTCATAGTATAGTATATAATAACTTCAATTACTGGGTATCGCTAACCTTCTTTTATATTGTCCGGTGAGTATTATGTATTCAAATCTGTCAAGCCATGAAGTTAGGACTTGTGGGCCAAATTTTATAATTAAATGTTCGACCCAATTTTAAATGATCCCAATTCAACAAAAAAGAGACATTCTCGATTCCCCTCGTATCCTTAACATAATTATCCATAGCTGTGGTTGAAAATGCATACATTTTCATGACTGAATCTGAGGAAGCATTGATACCACCACAGGTTTAGACTTTAGAAAGTGTTCTCTTCCTTTTCTTCCCCTCCCTTTTGGTACCTAGAACTTGAGTGTGTACTGAGAGGCCACCACGTGTTGGGTGGGTTTACAAATGAGGACCAATTCATACCCCCAAAGTGGACTGTCTGCTCTTTGAATATTTTGAGAACAATGAAAAGGAAGAAATGAAGTGGGGGTGGTGGTCCAATCCATGAGCAGCACCAACTTCAGTGGACTCCCACCTTACCACCACCATTGGATAGCTTTAACTAATTACCTCTTCCGTGCTACTTATTACTTGCAAGTGCAATCCACTAGTTCTCCATTTATCATGTTATTAAAATAATAAATTAGATATTATCATTTTTATAATGCAATTATGACATCTTTATTCTCCCATATAATTAAAACGCCGTATTTTAGGGTTCGTTTGATTAGTAAGAAAAAAAATGATAAAAAGTGAAAATGATATAAAATAAAGTGAAAGAAAATAAAATAATAGAAAATATATTTCATGCATGTATTTTGTTAGAATAAAAATTTATGGGAAAGTTTTAAAAAAATTTCATTTTATTATTTGAAAGAAAGTAAACGTATAAGAAACTTTTTACAATTGTCTAAATTACACTTAATTATATTAAATCGGTCTAAAAAATAAAAAAAATATGCAATTATAATTGAAAGTTAATTTTTTTTTAAAAAGTGACTAGAAACCTAATTCTAAGACAATCAGCAAAATAAAAGTCTTTGGGTCAAATTATATGATTAATCAAATTCATACCAAAATTTTTTAAAATTAATAACCAATAAAATATTTTGGGTCCGTTTGGTTAGGAAGAAAAAAATAATGAAAAGTGAAAATGATAGAAAGTAAAGTGAAAGAAAAGAAAATGATAGAAAATATATTTCCATACATGTGTTTGGTTAGAATGAAAAATTTACCGGAAAGTTTTAAAAAAATTCCATTATATTGTTTGAAAAAAAGAAAAGTTATAAGAAATTTTTTATAATTGTCTAAATTATCCTTAATTATATTAAATCAATCTAAAAAAGAAAAAAATATATGCAATTATAATTGAAAGTTAAAATTTTTTTAAAAAAAATGCTCGAAACTTAATTTTAAGATAATCACCAATACAAAGGTCTTTGGGCCAAATTATATGCTTAATCAAATTCATACCAAAATTTTTTAAAATTAATAACCAATAAAATATTTTAAGAAAAATATGGGTAAAATAGGAAGTTTGTTATAGATCATAATTTTTTTTTGCATTTTCTTGTGTTTTTTACAAGAAAAAAAAGTTAGTTATTTGTGGGAAAATTTAAGTATGAAATAAAATTATTTTTTTCATCATTTTCCTTTTCATGCTAACCAAACACATGAAAATTTTAAAAAATTTCTCTTTCTTGCATTTTCTATCATTCTCCTGCTAAACAAACGAACCCTTTAAGAAAAATGAGGGTAAAATAAGAAGTTTGTTGTAGATCACAACTTTACATTTGCTTGTGTTTTTTACAAGAAAAAAAAGTAGTTAATTTGTGAGAAAATTCAAATATGAAAGAAAATTATTTTTTCTATCATTTTTCTTTTCATACTAACCAAACACATGAAAATTTTAAAAAATTTCTCTTTCTTACATTTTCTACTATTCTCCCGCTAACAAACGAATCCTTAGTAGATAAGGGTTCCCCCTTTAGGAACATAGATATTAGACAATTTTACCCTTATTATAGAGAGAAAGATTCTAGCAGATGAGCAATTGTTATCCCTTTGCATAGTTATTTTAGTACTCAAATGAGATCATAGATGGTGCAATGTATCAAGAAATGGTGGAACTTTTAAATGGCATATGATCCCCTGCTCCCTAACATTGTCTCTACTTGTTTGCCTTAATTGAAAAAAGTACCAAATTAGATATGGTTGGGTCAGTAGAATGAAATACACCTACTTGGAGCAGGGCACAGGCAAGAACTACATCCCCCGCCTATAGAGAGTTCTAGAAACTATTTTTCATCTCACTTCATCATAGATAAGCAAGGATCTTCCTTGATTACAAAACTCAAAAAAGGAAAGAGTTAAGCATTTGTAATGTCTAACATCGTACCTATACTTCATAAATTTTCCACCATGTAGTTGGGGCACTAGTACTCAACTATATCATTGGAAGTCGGTCATTACAAAAATCTATGATACATTCTATTATTTGTGAATGGTAGCTAACTTGGTTAATAAATCATGTAGGTGTGAGCCACCTTGATGGTGCAAGTGAGAGAGAAAGACCCAATGTGAAACAATCCCTTGTATCATCCTACGACAACTTGCTAGCCCCAAAGGTGAAAGTTGCCTGCATGGACACCTCAAGTACTATACCAAAAGAAATTATGATAATTGAAAGCCACAAAAAGCACAGAATCAGGTTCATCAATGGCTTCTCCACTTGGTTTAATCAGTTCAGCATTCTCCTCCAAAGAAGCCTCAAAGAGAGAAGGCATGAAACCTTCAACTCTCTCAAGGTCTTCCAAGTGATTGCAGCCTCATTATTAGCCGGTTCCATGTGGTGGTGCTCGAATTTTCGTGATGTTCAGGATCGACTCGGGCTACTCTTCTTCATTTCCATCTTCTGGGGAGTGTTCCCATCTTTTAATTCTTCATTTGCCTTCCCTCAAGAGAGAGCAATCTTCATGAAAGAAAGGGCTTCGGGTATGTACACTCTCTCGTCCTATTTTATGGCACGAATTGTGGGCGATCTACCAATGGAGCTCATTCTCCCGACGTTTTTCCTCACCATAGCCTATTGGATGACGGGGCTAAAACCTGAATTGGGGGCCTTTCTTTTGACACTCTCCATTGTGCTCGGTTACGTGCTCGTGTCTCAAGGGCTAGGCCTTTTTCTTGGAGCTCTGATCATGGATGCCAAACAGGCTTCAATGGTGGTCACTGTCATAATGCTAGCATTTGTTTTGACAGGTGGGTATTATGTGCATAAAATGCCCTATTACATGGCTTGGATCAAGTACATTTCCTCCACATTTTACAGCTATAGGCTTCTGATTAATATCCAATATGGAGGAGGAGAGAGAATTTCATATTTTCTGGGTTGTTTCCACCAGGGAAACAATAGTGCAAGTTGCAAGTTCATTGAAGAAGATGTTGCAGGGCAAATCCACCCTGCAATGAGTGTCTGCATCTTGGTTTTAATGTTTGTTGGTTACAGATTGCTGGCTTACTTTGCCTTGAAGCGTATTAGAGCTTAAACCCTTTTTTGACATTGCAAAATAGGGCCATTGGATTGGCATAAACTGTGGTCAAAATATGGGAAAAATAATAGTACTTTGTGAAACTAAGTGTATACAATTGTACGAGAGCAAGTCCTTCAAGATTTACTTGCACTTGGCAAATGAACCCACATTTATTAATGTTATTCAACCTTTCGTTATTAGTAAACGGATAATTGTTTTTATTACATGTTTTTGGACTTGTGATTGCAACATAATCTTTTGATGCACACAATCTAACAATCAACATCGGTTAAACCAAAGTTCTATCTTATCATTTGGTCCACAATTGGACTACCTCATTTGGGTTTATTGATCCTCTGGAACAATGTAAAGGAGGAGGTACACTCCCCTGAATATCCCATTAGAGGGAATCATTAATAGACTGTGTGTTGGACCAAAATAGTTTTTTAAGTGTAAAAATTGAGTTTTTGATCAATTTTGAATTTAAATTAAAGTGGGACCCGTTCGTTGTTTCCAGTACTATTTCGTGGGTTCATATCCTACTCATTGAAGAGAATAATGTAATATATTTACTCGCTCAAATTAAGTAAGAAATGAATGAAAAAATAAGCTCCAAAGTGACCCTCTTGAATTGTGAAATAAAGGTTGTGCAATGTGAGATTTGACATCAATCCCACATTGGTTGATTAAAAAATTTTACATAGGCATATATAGGTCAAGTTTGTTGTATGAGATTGGGTCCTAAGGGGTACCACAGTTTTATGAGCGAAGCGAACACCTACATGTCTTTGGTTTAATCACACGCGCGCGCCGCCCGCCTCACCACGACCCAGTTGGGTGTGGGTGTGCCCTATCTTTTTAGAAAAAATTCTTTTAATTAATGAGCGGGAATTTCTTAACCCGAAATTCATATGTGTTGCTTCACTCCAGTTTGAATTAAGTTGTGTCTGTTCATACAGAACAGTTACACAAGTGGTGTCTACTGATTCTGGGTTGTGTCTTTTAGTTTGGTGTCTATACGAAAAGTCACCAAAGTATCTATAAATACCCAGACTCATTACCAGTCTGTATTCATTACAATTATTAGTATCCGTTATATACAGAGTTAAGTCAGACATCAGTGCATAACATTATTGGCACTAAGAAGTCTGCATTTGGAGAGTATACAACTCAAGTTTGGTTCGCTGAACGAGTAGATTGGAGTGCTACATTTGCTCGTGTAAAGATCATTGTATCTTGGGAGACAGACGCTCGATATTCCATAAGCATCGTGTGTGGGGACGAAAATCTGTCTTGAGGATATAATGTCAAACACTAGCCTTAATCTACATCAACTTCAATAACAGTTCATGTTCTGCAACCGAGTTAGTATTTATTTTGATTTACCAAACAATTACGTGTAACTGTTTGCTGTTACTGTTTCGTAAGACTGCTGTAACTCTTTCGTGTAAGATTGGTTCTATGTAACTATTTTCTTACTGTTTTGTTATACATTACAAATTTCAAATCATAAATTTCAATAAGTGATTTTACAATTTTGGAACACCAGAAACAACACTATGTATACAAGCATTCGTGACAGACCCCATAGTAAAGTCCAAGAAGAGGCGTTTGCCTCCTTGATATAACTTTAGACTTTGATTAGGTTAAAATGGAATAGGTAATTAATCCGCTAATAACTCTTGGGTGTTCTTCAAAAAAATCACACTATGCTCAGTCCGATATTCATACAATATAGGCATTGCCACACTATGCTGTAAAAAAACCACATCTAATATTATAATCAGTTTAGATCAATAAGACAAACTCAAATACACAACATAATAACTAGGCGAAACAATTACAAGGATATAGCAATATTATTTCTGCTCCCAAAACTCAAACTTACCTATTAACTCTTTCTTTCTCTCTCTCTCTCTCTCTCACACACACACACACATTCTTTATAACCCTCGTTTTGTGAAAATTTCATTCCAAGTATTTTATCTTCACACAAATAGATTTCCCAGCACCTAGGTGTTAGTATATATGATTTAAAATTAAATTTTATTATCATTTATTCATATTAATAGTTTCAGCCCACATTTATTTTATGATTATGATTTTAATTTTTGATTGTTGAAATTCTTTAGGGGGAGTTATATGTAATAACTACATATATCATTAATATATATATATATACATTGGAGTTACTTATGTTGGAGTTACTATATGAAGACTAGTCGTTGAAGCCAAACATTTCATATATATTTATATAGCCTTAAAGGATAAGGGCTATCCATTAATATATAAATAGACATGTGATCTATCTTCCTTTGATATAGAAAAACATCTTTCATATACATATTCTCCTTCATTCTTTACTAGTTTAAGTGTGTTTTGTGGGCAACTTGGGTGAGATCAGTTCGTTATAGAGAGGTTCACGCCTACACTGTAGCTTATCTCGGATTGTTGTATATTGAAAAAAGAACGTCGAAAAACTTTGTGCAGAGGAGACGTATCTCTTCTTAGAACAACGTTCATCTCACGCCTCAATCCAAGCTATTCTAAACTTATTTTTGATCTAAGTTCCATTGAGTTTATTTGTATGTTTATTTAATTTATGAATCTGTGATTTTATGTTTTATTTTCTAACAATCTAAGAAGAGATAAAATTAAGTTTAGAATAACGTAGGAAAACTTGTTTTTTCTATTTGTTTATCCATTTCTCTTGTTTGAAATATGAGCACTATTGAATCTAATTCTTGCAAACCTGAGAAGTTCAACGGTCAACACTTTAGAAGATGGCAACGACAAATAAAATTTTGGTTGACTATTTTGGGTTTAATTTATGTGCTTGAAAAACCTACTCAACTTGAGGAAAATAGACATATCCAAGTCCAGACTAATTAAACAACTACTGTTGATGGAACTAGTACAAGTTTAGTCCCTGAAAAGTCAACAAAATCTGCTTCTGATATAGAAAAAGACTACCTGTGTCATGGCAGAATTCTTAGTGCACTTGTTGAACCTATCTATGATATTTTTTGCACTACTAAATCAGCACTTAAACTTTGGGAAACTTTAGATAAAAAATATGGTACTGAAAATGTTGGACTAGAGAGGTATTACACTGAAAAATTCTTTGATTTTCAAATGATAGATGAAAAATTTGTGATGAATCAAGTCCATGAGTTTCAAAACATAGTCCATGAATTAAAGATGAAGGGCATGAATTTTCAAGAAAATTTTCTTGTTGCTGGGTTAATTAAAAAATTACCTCCTTCTTGGTCTGAGTTTGGTAGAATGCTTAAACAAAAGCCTCAAAGATTCTCTTTTGATGAGTTGCTAATTTCACTTAGAATTGAAGAAAAACATAGAGAGACTCAAAAAGATAAATCAACTGTAGAAAAACAAAATAAGACACTTCTAGTAGAAAATCAAGCTTTTAAGCCAAAACCCAAAAATTTCAATAATAAAAATTTTCATAAGCATGCAAATTTCAATAAACAATATGGGAACAAAAATCAAAAATATCAAAAATCTTGCTGGGTATGTGGAAAGACCAATCATTATGCAAAAGATTGCTACCACCGTAAGGGTCAACTGAATAGAGATCGTGGTCATCAAGCTACTCCCAAGTCTCAAGTCAATGTGGTGACTATAGGGGATTCAATGTTTGGTCCTAGTAACAGGTATATTTCAAATAGTCCCGAAGTGAATACGATATATCAAACAAATGATTAGTGGATTGATTTTGGGGCTAATATTCATGTGTGTTATGATAAGTCATTGTTTTCCTCTTATCAGGAGTCAGACACTAAAACTGTGAGTATGGGCAATGGTAGCATCACTAGTGTGCTTGGAGAAGGATGTGTTAGTCTTAAGTTTACTTCGGGAAAGACTCTTACATTGGATGGCGTCAAGCATGTGCCTGATATAAGGTAAAATTTAGTCAATGGGTCCTTGCTAGTTCAACATGGCTATCGAGTTGTATTTGAGTCTAATAAAGTTGTAATTAGTAAGAGTGGTTTGTTTGTTGGTAAAAGTTATTTGTGTGAAGGTCTTTTTAAGTTAAATGTAATTGTTTCTAATCCTAGTGATAATAAAAGTTCTTACTCAATGGTTTATCAAGTTGAAAGTTCGAGTGTGTGGCATGAAAGATTAGGCCATGTAAATTATAATACAATAAAAAGAATGATGAGTTTAGAACTAATCCCTAAATCTGAAATTAAAATTCAAGGAAAATGTGAAATATGTGTTCAAGCAAAACAACCTAGAAAGCCTTTTAAATCGGTAGTTAAAGAAACCAAATTGCTTGAATTGATTCATAGCGATGTTTGTGATTTAAATAATATCTTTACACGTGGTGGAAAAAGATATTTTGTAACTTTTATAGATGATTATTCAAAATATTGTTATATATATATTTATTAATGACAAAAAATGAAGTATTTGAAAATTTGAAAATTTATAAATCAGAAGTAGAAAATCAACAAGAGAAGTAAATAAAAATATTAAGGTCGGATAGAGGAGGTGAATATAAACCTACTAAAATGGTAGAATATTTTGAAAATCATGGAATTATTCATCAAGAGACATTGTCATTCTCACCTCAATCTAATGGAGTAGCAGAAAGGAAAAATAGGATTTTATTATACATGGTAAATGTGATGCTTTCTAGTTCCGGTTTAGCAAATAATTTATGGGGTGAAGCTTTGTTCTCAGCATGCTATATATTAAATAGTGTCCCTTATAAAAATTATGATGAGACTTCTTATGAATTGTGGAAAGGTAGAAAAACAAATTTAAGATACCTTAAAGTGTGGGGGTGTCTAGCTAAAGTGAGTGTTCCAAAGAATAAAAAACGAAAGCTTGGACCTAAAACCATTTATTGTGTTTTTATAGGCTATGCGTTAAAAAGTGTTGGATATAAATTTTTAGTTATTAAATCAGAAATT